TTCCAGCACTATGGAGAAGATAACCTGAAAATCTACTTACTACATAACATCTTGAAAAGCTGGATAACAAACACTTCATGTCATATAATAAACATAAGCAGAGTTGAGATTTTAAGAAAGAAAAAGAGATCCCCAGGAGTGAAAAACTGAAGAGGAAACTACCTCTCATAGCTGATGTTGGTCTGGGCAATTACAGGGCTTGCTTTATTTCGCCACTGGAGGTGGGAGATGAGGCGTTGGGCTCTGGGAAGGACAACGGAACTCGAATTCCCTTCTAAAAAGCTGGGATCTTGGAAGAATCATATTGTCAGTTCAAAAAAAAGGGGGAGTGCCTGGGTGTCTCAGTTGGTTAAGCATTCAACTTCAGCTCTGCTCATGATCTCACGGTTCATGGTTTGTGCCCCATGTCCGGCTCTGTGCTGACAGCTCAGAGTCTAGAGCCTGCTTCAGATTCTGTCTCTCTCTGCCCCTCCCCTGCTCGCACTCTGTCTCTCCCTCAAAAATAAACATTTAAAAAAATTTAAAAAAAAAAACGGACTCAAAAATACAGAGACAATGGAAACTTAGCTTAAAAAAGAAAGTTTCCTGAAGAATTTGAAACCTTGGCCTATGTGAAGTCTGAACTTACTCTATTTGTGTGGAGTTTATTCTTCCTAAGTGGCCTTAGAATCTGCAGCAGAGAAATTAACTTAAAACATAGTTTCAGGCTTAGAAACAAAGACACTCCTCCCTCTTTCCCTCGGGAGGAATACTAATTATTTCACTTAATTTTCACAACTGTCCTATGGAGTAAGTAATATTATCTCAGTTTATAAAAGAAATTTAAGTTAAGGGAGATTAAGCAAGGTTAAGCTAGGTTAAAGTCACCTAGCTATTATCTAACAGAGCTGGGATCTGAATCTTGTTGTTCATTCAAAAAAAAAAATTTTTTTTTAATGTTTATTTATTTTTGAGAGAGACAGAGACAGAATGTGAGTGGGTTAGGGGCAGAGAGAGAGGGAGACACAGAATCCAAAGCAGACTCCAGGCTCTGAGCTGACAGCACAGAGCCCAACGCAGGGCTTGAACTCACGAGCTGTAAGATCATGACCTGAGCCGAAGTCAGACGCTCAACCAACTGAGCCACCCAGGCGCCCCTGGTTGTTGTTCATTCAATCAAAATACATTTACCAAGTTCTATACTACGTGCCAAGCAGAAACAAGGTCCACTTCCTTCCCAATATATCACACAGCCTAATCTTTTTTGAGCAAATCAATAGATAAATGCAACTGTTTTCTTCTTTCTCAAGTTTAGCAATTCAGTGAGAATGAATGCAGCCAGAATCACAGGAAACCCACAGGATTCCCCTGGGCTCTGTCTGCCAAAGTGGTTCAGTCCTCTCTGCCAAAGGGACTTGGGTTGCTGAGACACTAAACTGGGAAGAAAAAGAGCAACTACTGCTCGGTAGGTCCTGGTTTTGGCATTAATTTCTTAGAGTAAACACACAACAATTTTAGTATATCGTAAATATTTTCAAACAGAAATTTCAAAATATTTACTATTAATGTTAAGTAGGGACAATAAGGCTGTTGTGATAAACATAAACATATGAAATTGAAAGTAATAACAGCTATAGTTATATCAGGCTCAACATCCAACATATTTGAATGTTTTTTTGAGTTGCCTCGCATTAAGAAAATCCTGATTTACAGACACAAGTAGCTACGACTATTTGTGTTTTTTAAAAAATTAACATGCATTCTTAGAAGCTTAACACACTGATCATCTTATTTGTATACATACTTCATAAAAATAGTTCTAAATATTTTTAATAAATCAAATCACATTACTTGAGGAATTTCTGAAGCACCTTCCTAGTGTTTTTACAGAGCAAAGTATGGAACAATTAGACAAAGGACACTTAGAGAACCCTCAAGTTTCTGTCTAGGAAGTTAGGATACACAGTAAAGTGCAAAGTTATAAGAAGGAACCAATACATTCCAAAATTCACTGCCAATGACTCTCTTCTGGGACAAAACTCTCTACTCCCTCTTTCACTTCCAATCCTGCCATGAAGACCATTATTAATCTACTTTTTGAGTGTCATTTCCCACTTTTCCCCTTTTCTTTTTTTTAATAAAGATTTTATTTCTTTTTTTAAGTAATCTCCTTCCCAGTGTGGGGCTCTAACTCATGACTCTCAGACCAAGAGTTGCATGTTCTTTTGACTGAGCCAGCCAGGCGCTCCCCCACGTTTCCCCTTTCCTGCTCTTTTCTCCAACTAATCTCAAGTAATGACTGTATGTAATCTGACCATACCTTCTTACTTCCCCATGTGTTTATTCATATTGTTACCTTCACCTTGGATCTATAATCACTGTATTCTTTTTTTTTTTTAATTTTTTTTTCAACGTTTATTTATTTTTGGGACAGAGAGAGACAGAGCATGAACAGGGGAGGGGCAGAGAGAGAGGGAGACACAGAATCGGAAACAGGCTCCAGGCTCTGAGCCATCAGCCCAGAGCCCGACGCGGGGCTCGAACTCACGGACCGCGAGATCGTGACCTGGCTGAAGTCGGACGCTTAACCGACTGCGCCACCCAGGCGCCCCTATAATCACTGTATTCTTGAAGGCCCATGCTATGCTAAGCACCATGCTGGGCAATCTAAATACATTTTCTTATTTATTTCTATTACCATATGTTTTACCCATCTTTATTTATTTGTAAATAATAACATTTTTAAGTGCTTACTTTATGCCAGATATTATATGCTCAGTGCCTTACACTAGTTCATTTAATCCTTATGACAGCCCTAAATCAAAATAGTATCATACTGACACAAAAGTACACACACAGATCAATGGAATGGAATAGACAGTCCAGAAATAAACCCATGTTTATATGGTTAATTAATCTATGACAACGGAGGTAAGAATATACAATGGAGAAAAGACAGTCTCTTTAATAAATGTAGCTGGGAAAACTGGACAGCTACATGCAAAGGAATAAAAGTGGACCACTTTCTTAAGCCATACACAGAAATAAACTCAAAACAGATTAAAGACCTCAATGTGAGACAGGAAACCATAAAATTCTTAAAAGAAAACATCTCTCTGACACTGGCCATTGCAACATTTTTCTAGGTATGTCTCTTAAGGCAAGGGAAACAAAAGCAAAAATAAATTACTGGGACTACATCAAAACACAAAGCTTTTGCATAGTAAACCATCAACAAAATGGAAAGGCAATCTACTGACTGGAAGAAAATACTTGCAAATGATATACCCAAGAAGGGGTTAATATCCAAACTATATAAAGAACTTACATAACCCAACACCAAAAAACCCCCAAATAATCCAATTAAAAATGGGCAAGGGATCTGCATAGACGTTTTTCCAAAGAAGACATATAAATGGCAAAGAGACACATGAAAAGATGCTCAGCATCACTCATCATCAGGGAAATGCAAGTCAAAACCACAATGAGATATCACCTCATGCTAAAATCAAAAACACAAAAAAGAACAAGTGTTGGTGGAAAAAAAAGACCCCTTGTGTACTGCTGATGAGAATGCAAACTGGTGCCATCACTATGGAAAACAGTACAGAGGTTCCTCAAAAAATTAAAAACAGAAATAACATATGATGCAATAATTCCACTACTGTGTATTTACCCAAAGAACACTAATTTGAAAAGATATATGCATCTGTATGTTTACTGGAGCATTTTTTTCCAATAGCCAAATTATAGAAGCAACCTAAGTGTCCACTGACAGATGAATGGATAAAAAAGATGTGGGGCGTGTGTGTGTGTGTGTGTGTGTGTGTGTGTGTGTGTGTGTGTGAATGGAGTATCACTCAACCATAAAAAAGAAGATCTTGTCATTTGCAACAACACAGATGGACCTAGAGGGTATTACACTAAAGTGAAGTAAGACAGAGAAAGACAAATACCCCATGGTTTCACTTATATGTGGAATCTAAAAAATAATTAAACAAACACAACACAAACAGACCTATAAATACAGAGAACAGACTAATGGTTATGGTTGCCAGAGGGGCGTTGGATGGGGGATGCAAAATGAAGGGGAGTGGGAGATACAGGTTCTATATAAAAAATGAATTAAGTCACAAGGATAAAAGGGACAGCATAGGGATAGTCAATGATAATGTAATAGTGTAGTATGGTGACAGATGGTAAGTACATTTGTGGTAAGCACAGCACAACAGATAGACTTGTCCAATCAGTATGTTGCATACCTGAAACTGAAGTAATACTGTGTGTCAACTATACTTCAATTTAAAAAAACAAACACCTAAAACAAAGAATAAGTGTGAGGAACAAAGAAAAAAAAAAAAAGAAAGGAAGGAAGGCAGAAGGTAATATTATAACGGGAATACAAAGGCTCTGGAAGGTTAAAAAAATTTGCCTAAGGCCAAGTATGGGAGAGAATGATTCCAGGAAGAGTGCTCTCTGAGCTCAGAGCGGAGCTCTTAAAGAACAAGGTGATGCTATCAGGGGACAATGGCAGTCCAGACAGAGGGACAACATACACAAAGAGTGAAGTAGGAAACAGCTTGGTATGCAGTTAAGGAAAAAGATCAGCTTTCAGGATCAGCAGACCTGGGCTCAAATATCTATTTTTGGTTTTGTTTTATGGCCTCTTACTGTGACTATGGCTTTCTCAACTGTCAAATGGTGATAAGAAGCTGTACCATGAAAAACTGGTTTAAAATTAAACATGATATGTGAAACTGTGCATCACAGGGCTAGGTCCATGGTAGGTATTCAATAAATGTTACCTCCCTTCCTTTCCCCTAGATGACAATTCAACAATCCTTAGTTGTAAGAATGTCATTTCCATCTCCATTGAACCCCAGACATATCTCTCTTCTACAAGTTCCCAAGCTTTACCAGGGCTTTTGGAGGCACAGTATACCAAAAGTCATTCAGCAAGTTATTTGGTAATGCCCTTAACCACCGTTTTTCAAAATGAGAACTATTTTCACACCACTTACCTGTGTAGGCCATGTTCTTAGGGTTGCCATAAGGAGCCCCAGGCTGCACGGGGCTATAAACAGGGTTCATTGTGGAAGACTGAGGATCCTATACAGAAACAAAGAAAATAGCACTGATTATTGATTGTTCATTTTCCCTGACATCAGTTTCCCTTCTATAATCTTCAACTTATACTCACAGAGAACAACATGGTATAGCAGAAAGAAGCAAAAAGCCATTTGTTTGTACTTGGCCCTATGCTATACACTTTTCTCCTTATACAAATGAAGATACTGAGAAGCAGAGAGGTGATACAACTTGCCTAATGTCAACCCAAACCTTTTGGCTTTTAGTTCAGAACCAGACCCACTATCCCACAGATGACTCTGCCACTGGTATACTGTGTGGCATTGGCCAAGTCACTTCCCCTCTCCAGACTCTAACATCGTGATGTCAAATCAATTAGTTTAGACTCTCTGAGGTCTTTTCCAATGCTAAGGATGCCAGTCCGGGAGTTGGGAAAGGATGCACTTCTACTGTTCATCAGGGGAGTGTAAGAGCCAAACAACAAATACACAGACTATTAGGAAGAGCAGCAAGTGTCTCACCAACCCTTTGCACCTGCAGAGGACAAGATACCAGTTACTAATAGATTTGGGAAAAATGGAAATTTATCACCACTGAGAATTTTAATGCAAAACACAGTCAAGATCTCTTTCAAAATTTGTTCAACAGAAAGAAACCTGGAAATTTGTGTGCAGTAAGTATCACCTGCACAAGTGCTCTGTTAATTACCTTAATGAAGCACATTCTCCATTCTGATTAATGGAAAAATCTGTCATTAAACTCTGTTTTACAGCCCATTTGTCCCATCTTGTTTAGAGAACCATCTCTGACACATAGGCCAGTACATGTTTGAAAAACTTGTCTCTACAAATATATTACTTACACTTCATAAAAATCAAACAATTCTCTCCTAACTAGGCTCACATGATGGATGGGCAATTTTTTAGGTCATTAACTTCTCTTATAGCACCTCAGGACAGGAAACAAGTCAAATGTCAAGACAGGCAGTCAACAACTGGCTTGATGACAATTGCTCTGAGTTAATTAAGTCTCTCCAGGCTTCTGGAATGAGAGGTGGTGTAAAGATGGGTTCCCAAGGAGAGGAAGGCAGGGTGGTCAAACAGGCAAAAAGGAAAATGCTACTGGTTAATTCCAGAGGCTAGAACTTCCTGAAAGGTAGCCAATGGGCAGCCCTGGCAAATGACCCCAAGGCAACAGGCTAGATTAAACTACTACCAGTAAATGAACTGAAAACTTGAGGATGAAGGTTACAGGATATATACATATTTCGGCACAATTTAAGGAGAAAATACCCCTTGCATCCAGAGTTATCTAAGAATATGGCCAGGTTAACATTCTCTCTCTAAATATAAGCACTCTCCTTAACAGATACTGGGAGAATTAAAAAAGATCTCAGAATGTCAAAATACACCACCAACCGTCAGGTGGTGCACACATGTAAATGATGATGGTGATGATGTGATGGCAGCAACAACACAGAAGACAACTTGTACACTTTTCCTGCCTTAGGTCTCTCTTCTACCCAACTAGTTCTTTGCTAAATAATGTGGCGTAAGCAAGACTGTTAAAGTGCTAAGCAGCACAACTGGCCCTGTAAACATCTAGTCACGCTCCTAATAAGAAGGTAATCCATGTTGCTGATTGGGCAAGGTATGAAAATGTTTTTCATAACCAAAGAAACTCAAAAACTTTGGAAATGGTTTCCTCCTGCTCCAAAATGAGGGCCTCAGCCTCAAAAGGATATCTTGACTGGGGGAGCACTCCACAACAGCATTGATTCCAAGCCCTACTGATGACTGACAGAAATGAGATATTCCATGGGTTCAAAATTTGGATTAAGAATGTGACAGCCACTTCTGGGGAAGCTGCTTGCAGGAAGAGACGGTCCCTGGCTTTCAAGGGTAAGTCAACCCTTTACGAGAGAATCCACATACTCTTAATAGTTTCAGGGACAGACTAAACATGAGTAGGAAGATCACAAGCTCTTTGATCAGACAGATTTAGGTTCAAATCCTAGCACTGCCACCTACCAAATGTGGGACCACAGGCCACTAACCTTTCTGAGCTTCAGTTTCCTCTAGCCTCAAAACGGAAAATATTACATACTTTATAAAGGTGTTGTAAGGTTTTCTTAAAACAGATTTATTGAGGTATAATTTACATATAGTAAAACTTACCCCTTTGGGGTATATAGTTCTATGACCCCTGAAAATGTGTAGTCATACAAACACCACCACAAGTAAAATATAAAGCATTTTCATCACCCCAAAAAGTTCTCTCATCTTTGTATTCAATACCCTCCCACTGATTCCCAGCCTGTGACAACCACTGATCTGTTTTCTGTTGCTCTATATATACACACATAACAACTTTTACTTTATAGATGAAGTAAGTGAAGCTGGAAAAAGGTAATGAACAGCCCAAGGTCACAAAGCAAGTTAAGGGCAGGGTCAAGACTAGCACCCCAAATGGATCAAAGACCTAAATGAAAGAGCTGAAATACAAAACTCATACAAGAAGGAAGAAAATATAGGCATAAACCTTTGTAACCTTGGATTGGCAATGGTTTCTTAAATATACCAAGAGTACAAACAACCAAAGGAAACAAAAATACACTGGATTAATCAAAACTAAAAACTTTTGTGCTTTAAAGACACCATTAAGAAAGTGAAAGACAACCCAGAGAAGGAGAGAAATTTGCTGACCATATACAGTTGACCCTTGAACAATGCAGGGGTTAGGGGTGCCAAACCCCTGTGCAGTCCAAAATCTGTAGGTAACTTTGACTCTCCCAAAACTTAACTACTAAGAACCTACTGCTGACTGGAGAATATAAACATTTGAATAACACGTATTTTGTCTATGTATTACATACTGTATTTTTGTAATAAAGCTAGAAAAAGAAAATGTTATTAAGGAAATCATAAGGAAAATACATTTACAGTATTATTGTACGGTAAAAAAAAATCCACGCGTAAGTGGACCCACACAGTTCAAACCCATGTTGTTCAAGGGTCAACTGTATAGGATAGGGGATTAGGGTTTTTTTAAGGTGTTGTTGTTGTTGTTGTTGTTGTTTTAATTCTGAGAGAGCAAGAGCACAAGTGGGGAAGGCGCAGAGAGAAAGGGGGACAGAGAAAATTCCAAGCAGGCTCTGCACAGACAGTGCAGAGATCGACATGGGGCTAGAACCCATGAACTCTGAGATCATGACCTGAGGCAACATCAAGAATCAGATGCTTGGGGCGCCTGGGTGGCGCAGTCGGTTAAGCGTCCGACTTCAGCCAGGTCACGATCTCGCGCTCCGTGAGTTCGAGCCCCGCGTCAGGCTCTGGGCTGATGGCTCGGAGCCTGGAGCCTGTTTCCGATTCTGTGTCTCCCTCTCTCTCTGCCCCTCCCCCGTTCATGCTCTGTCTCTCTCTGTCCCAAAAATAAATAAAAAACGTTGAAAAAAAAATTTTTTTAAAAAAGAATCAGATGCTTAACTGAGTCACCCAAGTGCCCCGGGTATTGTATTTGTATATAAATATAAATATCTGTATTTAAAAAATATAAAGAACTCTTATCTTGGGGTGCCTGGGTGGCTCAGTCAGTTAAGTGTCCGACTTCCACTCAGGTCATGATCTTGCGGTTCATGAGTTTGAGCCCTGCATTGGGCTCTGTGCTGACAGTCCATAGCCTGGAGCCTGTTTCGAATTCTGTCTCCCTCTCTCTCTCTGCCCTTCCCCCGTCTCTGTCTTTCTCAAAAATAAATAAACATTAAAAAAATTTTTTTGGGGGAAAAAAAAAACTCTTATCTTTACTCAATAATAAAAAGGCCAATAACTCAATTAAAAAATGGGCAAAGGATCTGAACACACATTTCTTCAAAGAAGTTATATAAATGATATAATGAGATACTACTTCTATACACTAAATGGCTAAAATAAAAAGATAACAAAAAGTGTTGACAAGAGTGTGAGGAAAATGGAACCCTCATACAAAGCTGGTGGGAATGTAAAATGACACAGTCACTTTAGAAATAAATCTGATAGTTCCTCAAATAATTAAACAGAGTTACAATATAATCCAGCAATGCCACTCCTAGGTATATAACACAGAGAAATGAAAACACATGTCCACATGAATGTTCACAGCAGCATTATTCATGATAGTCAAAAGATGGAAACAGGGGTGGCTTAGTCAGTGAAGCATGCAACTTTTTTTTTTTTTTTTTTTTTTACATTTATTTATTGTTGAGAGACAGAGAGACAGAACACAAGTGGGGAGGGGCAGAGACAGAAGGAGACAGAATCCGAAGCAGGCTCCAGGCTCTGAGCTGTCAGCACAGAACCTGACGTGGGGCTCGAACTCACAAACTGTGAGATCATGACCTAAGCCAAAGTTGGACCCTCGACCAACTGAGCCATCCAGGTGCCCCGAAGCATGTAACTCTTCATTTCAGCTCAGGATGATCTCATGGTCAGTCAGGGATCAAGCTCTGCATGAAGCCTTCTTGGGAGTCTCTCTCTGCCCCTCCCCCACCTCACTCTCTCTCTCAAAACAAAAACAAAAGAGGGAAACAACTTAAATGTTCAACTGGTGAATGGATAAATGGAATGTGATACATCCATACAATGAAATATTTGGCAATAAAAAGAAATGGAGTATTGATACATGATACAACATAAATGAATCTTGAAAACATTACATTAAGTGAAAGAAACCAGTCACAAAAGGTCACATATTACATGATTCCATTTATATGAAATTTCCAGAATAGGCAAACCTATACAAAGGTAGATTAATGGTTGCCTAGATTAGTTCATGACACATGAAACCTAGTAACTTCCAAATCCACATTTTCTCACAATAATTATTATAACGTAACATTCAACCACACATCCACACCCACACACACCCTACTTTCGTAACATTTCTTCCTGATCACACCTTAAGCAATTCAAACCCACCATACCCAAAAGTAAACTCAGAATCTTTTCCCAGCCCCATTCTTTCATCCT